TACGAGTGTCCCGAGTGTGGGAAGAGGTTTCAGACCAGCTCAGATCTCCTCGTGCACCAGCGGATTCACACGGATGAGAGGCCTTTCCGCTGCCCCGACTGTGGGGAGGGCTTCAAGCGAAACTCCCACCTCATCAGGCACCGGCGCATCCACACTGGGGAGAGGCCCTATGAGTGTGGGGAATGTGGGAAGGGCTTCAGCCAGAGCTCCAGCCTGATCTGCCACCAGAGGATCCACACTGGGGAACAGCCCTATGAGTGTGGGAAGTGTGGGATGACCTTCAGCCAGATGTCCCAGCTGACCATCCACCAGCGCATCCACACTGGGGAGAGGCCCTACGAGTGTCCCGAGTGTGGGAAGAGGTTTCAGACCAGCTCAGATCTCCTCGTGCACCAGCGGATTCACACGGATGAGAGGCCCTTCCGCTGCCCTGACTGTGGGAAGGGCTTCAAGCACAGCTGCACCCTCATCAGGCACCAGCGCATCCACACTGGGGAGAGGCCCTATGAGTGTCCCCAGTGTGGGAAGAGCTTCTCCAGGAGCTCTACCTTGACCAGACACCAGCAGAGGCACCGGTAAGGGAAGCCCTGTGAGTGCCCCAAGTGCAGGAAGAGCTTTGTGCACTTCCCTGCTCCATCCCCCACCAGAGGATGCGCATTGGGCAGAGCCCTGATGACCCACGTTCCCAGTGATCTGTGTTGGGAAGACACTGGGCTGGTGGTCATTTTATTTTGGTTCTATCTTTTGATTCATCTTCATCCCTTTAAAACAGATAAAATTGGAATAAAAGTCTACAAATTCATCAAAGGCATCTAAAACCTCACATTTACCGGTGCTTCAGGGGAATCTGGGATTCAGGGAGCGTCGCTGTCGGACACGAAATAAGTCACACGGACACAGCTCAAGAGATGATGAAGAAGAAGTGAACTTTATTTCTTCTCTCACAATTTATAGCTTTCTGACCATGGCCAGGGATTGGGTAGTCAGGATAGCCCCTTTCTAACCACACTGGCCGTAAGACATGTCCATCAAGAGACGTCTAACAGAAGGAATGCACAAGTATCTATGTTTATAGTTTCTATCCTGGGAAAATTCTTTAGAAACTATGTCAACAAGCTCTGAAGCTGAGTTTTCAGGGCGACAAGGGATGTACATGGGAGGGTTTTGGAGGCATTTGGTGTAGTTGTCTCCATTTCTTGGCACTCAAGGAGATGAGAGAGTTCGATCTATCACCTTTAAACCACTCAGTGCCATTGAAATCTACTCAATCCCACACCAAAATTGCTGCATTCCACAGCCCCTCAGCATGTGATGCCTTAAGTTTTAGCTTTCCTATTTTTCATATTCTGCACTGCCTAGGTTTGTAGTTTTGAACTTCCTATTAAGTGTTAGTGAGCTCTCTTCACAGAGTAGGTAGACAAAACAATTCCTTTTCTAGCTTGATACCAAGGACAGTCATAAGAAGTTTCAGGCCCAAAAGCATGAACAAGGGTGGACTGAAGAGAGAAAACAAGAAGGATGGGACTTCATCATCTGAAGCTGTCACTGCACAATGAGCCCCAATGTCCAGATGGACCTAAACTTCTAAAAATGTGAGACCTCGTGATGAGTTGTCCATTTTTGTGACCATTTTTGGTCAGTCCTGGGTGTAGCTCTGGCCAGGCTCTTGTACTGCCCAAGGTGTATCCTTTAAGGCCTTTTAATAAACTTTATTCTTAACTCTGTCCAGCCTCTGTTCTAGGTCAGCCTTCTGAAGGCATCAGGTGGAATGGGGTTGGAAGGGGATTGGGTGAAGTGGGATGCAGATCAGGAGGGGTGAGATGGGCATTGGGTGGGGCAGGATGGGTGGGATGGGGATTGGTGTAACTTTTCTCTTTTTGCTTCTTTTGGGCTGAATTTTTTGTGGATATAACTTTTCTCTAGTCTCTCAGCCTCCTTTGTGCTGAATTCCCTGTGGATATAACTTTTCTCTAGTCTCTCAGCTTCCTTTGGGCTGAATTCCTCTGGGATCCTCCCTCATGGGGAGTCCCACTTATCTCAGTCCTTAACATTCGAAGAAAACTCCCGGGCTCATTAGATTCTGGTTTCTGGTGTTTATTGAAGGTTCCTTACAAAAACCTGGCAGGTCTGTCCAGACAAGCTGCACAAGCTTAAATCACCACAGCCTGGCTCATCTCGTTCTAATGATACAAAATGGCCCCGAACCACGCGGTCTTTTCACCTTTATACCAATTTTTACCCTATTAACTACAGACACGTGTATTGTTATTATAACTCAACAAATCGGTTTTCTAGATCTACTCATGTAATTAAAAGTGCGACTAACTCTAAACCAATCATTCTTTGTGCTTCTAAAAACTGCAGAAGCATGGAAAAGAAGGAAGAAGAAGGATTAAAAACTACACCTTTTTTCTTTCATCTTTACTCCACGTGTGAAACCCTCTAAAAAATCTGTATTTTCACCTCAGTGTTAAATGAAACATTTTTCTACTTTCTATCATATTTCTTACAAACCCTGGCTTGCTCAGGGATATTTGGAAGCCTTTCTGTCAATATTATATATGATTCATATATTCTTTAAATAATTGAATAGACAGAGAAATGTCCCTGCATTTCTAGACACCTACACGTTTCATCAAAATCCCACAAAATTCCACAAAAATCCCACAAAATTCCATAAACATCCCACAAAATTCCCTAAATCTTCTCAAAACCCTACCGTATTCCAGAAACATCCCACCAGAGCTCTACAAAATTCCACAATATCAAGAAAAATCCGTCAAAATTTTTCAAGTCTCCACAAAATCCCATAAAATTCTGGAAAAAAATCCCACCAAAATGCAAAAATATTCTCAAAACCCTACCAAATTCCAGAAAAATCCCACAAAATCTCCACAAATTTCCACAAAATCTAAGAAAATACCTCAAAATCCTTCATGTCTCCAGAAAATCCCTTAAATTTCCAAAAACTCCTACAAAATCTCCACAATATCCTGCAAAATTCAAGAAAAATACCACAAAATTCATTAAATGTTCTCAAAACCCCACCAAATTCCAGAAACATCCCACAATATCCCCACAAATTTCCACAAAATCAAAAAAAATACCTCAAAATCCTTCATGACTCCTCAAAATCCCACAAAATAACAGAAAATTCCGCAACAGTTCAAAAAAATCCCACAAAATTCCAGAAACATCCTACCAAATCTCCACAAAATTCCACAAAAATCTAAGAAAAATCCCTCACAATTCTTCAAGTCTCTTCAAAATCCCTCAAGATTCTACAAACATCCCACAAAATCACCCCAATATCCTACAAAATTCAAGAAAAATCCCAAGAAATTGCAGAAAAATCCCATGCAATTCCCTAAATGTTCTCAAAACCCCACAAAATTCTAGGAACACCCCACTAAATCTCCACAAAATTCCACAAAATCTGAGAAAAATCCCACAAAATTCTTCAAGTCTCCTCAAGATCCCTCAAGATTGTACAAAAATCCCACAAAATCACTCCAATATCCTACAAAATTCAAGAAAAATCCCAAGAAATTGCAGAAAATTCCCTCACAATTCCCTAAATATTCTCAAAACCCCAGCAAATTCAAATAAAATTCCACAATATCCCCACAAAATTCCACAAAATCTAAGAAAAATCCCAAAAAATTCTTCAAGTCTCCTCAAAATCCCTCAAGATTCCAGAAAAAAATCTCACAAAATTCCCTAAATCTTCCCAAAACCCAACTAAATTCCAGAAATATCCCAACAAATCTCAACAAAATTCCAAAGAAGCTAAGAAAAATCCCTCATAATTATTCAAGTCTCCTCAAAATCCCTCAAAATTCCACAAAACTCCCACAAAATCTCCTCAATATCCAACAAAATTCAAGAAAAATCCTACGAAATTGCAGAAAAATCCCATACAATTCCCTAAATGTTCTCAAAACCCGACCAAATTCCAGAAACATCCCACGAAATCCCCACACATTTCCACAAAATCTAAGAAAATACCTCAAAATCCTTTATGTCTCCTCAAAATCTCTCAAGATTCCAGAAAACTCCCACAAAATCTCCTAAATATCCTACAAAAATTCAAGAAAAATCCCACAAAATTGCAGAAAAATCCCACACAATTCCCTAAATGTTCCCAAACCCCACCAAATTCCAGAAACATCCTACCAAATCTCCACAAAATTCCACAAAATCTAAGACAAATCCCTCACAATTCTTCAAGTCTCCCCCAAATCCCACCAAATTCCAGAAAAAACTCCAACACAATTGCAGAAAGATTCTCAAAACCCCAACAAATTCCAGAAACATCTCACAATATCCCCACTAATTTCCACAAAATCTAAGAAAACACCTAAAAATCCTTCATGTCTCCTGAAAATCCCTCAAATTTCCACAAAACTCCTACAAAATCTCCCCAATAACCTGCAAAATTCAAGAAAAATCCCAGAAAATTCATTAAATGTTCTCAAAACCCCACCAAATTCCAGAAACATCCCACCATATCCACAAAATTCCACAAAATCTAAGAAAAATCCCTAACAATCCTTCATGTCTCCTCAAAATCCCACAAAATAGCAGAAAATTCCACAACAGTACAAAAAAATCCCACAAAATTCCAGAAACATCCTACCAAATCTCAACAAAATTCCACAAAATCTAAGAAAAATCCCTCACAATTCTTCAAGTGCCCTCAAAATCATACCTAATTCCAGAAAAAATCTAAAAAAAATCCCTACATCTTGCCAAAACCCTGCCAAATTCCAGAAATATCCCACAAAATCCCACTAATTTCCACAAAATTTCAGAAAAATCCTTCACAATTCTTCATGTCTCCTCAAAATCTTTCAAGATTCCACAAAACTCCCACAAAATCTCCTCAATATCCTACAAAATTCAAGAAAAATCCCACGAAATTGCAGAAAAATCCCACACAGTTCCCTAAATGTTCTCAAAACCCCAGTAAAGTTCTAGAAACATTGCACAAAATCCCCACAAATTTCCACAAAATCTAAGAAAAATCCCTCACAATTCTTCAAGTCGCTACAAAATCCCTCAAGATTCTAAAAAAATCCCACAAAATCACACCAATATGCTACAAAATTCAAGAAAAATCCCACCAAATTGCAGAAAACTCCCATACAATTCCCTAAATGTTCTGAAAACCCCACCAAATTCCAGAAACATCATACAATATCCCCACAAATTTCCACAAAATCGAAAAAAATACTTCAAAATTCTTCATGTCTCCTCAAAATCCCACAAAATAACAGAAAATTCCACAACAGTACAAAAAAATCCCACAAAATTCCAGAAACATCCTACCAAATCTCCACAAAATTCCACAAAATCTAAGAAAAATCCCCCACAATTCTTCAAGTCTCCTCAAAATCCCACCAAATTCCAGAAAAAACTCCAACACAATTGCAGAAAGATTCTCAAAACCCTACCAAATTCCAGTAACATCCCACAATATCCCCACAAATTTCCACAAAATCTAAGAAAACACCTCAAAATCCTTCATGTCTCCAGAAAATCCCTCAAATTTCCACAAAACACCTACAAAATCTCCACAATATCCTGCAAAATTCAAGAAAAATCCCAGAAAATTCATTAAATGTTCTCAAAACCCCACCAAATTCCAGAAACAGCCCACAATATCCACAAAATTCCACAAAATCTAAGAAAAATCCCTCACAATTCTTCAAGTCGCTACAAAATACCCTAAGATTCTACAAAAATCCCACAAATCACCCCATTATGCTACAAAATTCAAGAAAAATCCCACCAAATTGCAGAAAACTCCCATACAATTCCCTAAATGTTCTCAAAACCCCACCAAATTCTAGAAACATCCCACGAAATCCCCACACATTTCCACAAAATCTAAGAAAATACCTCAAAATCCTTCATGTCTCCTCAAAATCTCTCAAGATTCCACAAAACTCCCACAAAATCTCCTCAATATGCTACAAAATTCAAGAAAAATCCCACAAAATTGCAGAAAATTCCCTCAGAATTCCCTAAATGTTCTCAAAACCCCAGCAAAGCTTCAGAAACATCCCACAAAATCCCCACAAATATCCACAAAATCTAAAATAATCCCTCAAAATTCTTCATGTCTCCTCAAACTCCCACAAAATACCAGAAAATTCCACAACAGTACAAAAAAAATCCCACAAAATTGCAGAAACATCCCACGAAATCCCCACACATTTTTACAAAATCTAAGCAAATCCATAACCATTCTTCAAGTCTCCTCAAAATCACACCAAGTTTCCAGAAAAAACTC